AACTACTTCTAAAAAGATTTTTGATAATTTTCATACTTTTCTGGGGGAGATTTTCCACCTTGTTACACCCGTGATGTTACAGAGCAAAAAGGACCCGGCCTCAAACAAATACTTATAAATCACTCATTATGCTATATTACCAAAAAAGATTGGATTCAATCTTTTTGTCAACTTCTTATCTTTCATTTAGGACTGGTTTTGTATTTATATTTGCTTCGTGATTTATAAGCAATTTTATGAGGCCGGGTCCTTTTTGCTCTGTAAACTCGTAAGTGTGATAGGGTTCTGAACACAACACAAGGGTTTTAAATAGCTTTTCACTATTTTTGTATTCATGATCTGATCCATTCAAGTTGTAGCGGTATTTTACAGAGAGGCGGCAGCTTTTCCGCGAGTGGGTGTGGCTTCAGCGCCGACAGCGGACACGCCCCGCAGAGAATGCTGCTTATTTTTTTTTCAAGATTTTGATACCTTATTTTATTTACTTGGCGTTTTTTGCCATTCAAATATGGCTGGGTGGTTAATAACACGTTTTTTTCTGTGGTGTGAAACTCGGAACATATATTTAATATTGCTTTACACAGACTTTAAATTTGCAAATGAGGCATTATCTAATTGAATATGCACTAATTTGCATAATTTTCCAGAACAGAAATCTGAACAATGTAAAGCCAGGTTCAACATTTTTGCTTAATTTATTAATTGACATATTGGAATTAAATATTTTCGGAAAGTTGATTTTAGATATCTGTTTTATCACTCCATAAATCTGAAAATACCATCACCATGTTTTTTTTAGGAATAAAATTGTATGTATAAAATTAGACGAATGACATATGGACAAACCCCTCTGTAAATACTCTCAGAATATAGATATGAATAAAACTGTAAAGTATATAAGTGTATGTAAGTGCTGCTGAAGCAGAGATTTCTGACTCTGCAGAAGAAAAAAATATTTTTGATAAAATGGCTTTAAAGATATGTACTGTAATTGAAGTCTACAGACACAAATAGATAAAGTGTAATAAAATAAACACTTAAAAATCTATTTAGGATGTTTTCTTTCCATTAATCTGAGTTATGAAAAGCTGAATAACCCAAAATCTCAAAACTAACCAGTGCATGAAGAATCAATGTTTTTGTCTGTAGTAGTCAAGCAGGAACATCAGATTTCAGTGTTAGTTTTATGAATCCACTTGATACAGTGGCCTGTAAGACCTGACCTGACCTTATATTAAAAAACCAGCGTGTTGCCATCATATAGGGTCAATGTTATGAAAATATATATAGACCAAAGTCAAACTGGCATCAAACAACAGCCGCACTCTGCAGAGAATCAGACATTCATTCAGTCCTCCTGTGCACCAGAGAACCCACAGCAGGGCTTTGTCTATCAGGATCATGTCAACAGATGCTTCTCTCTAAGTGTTTCTTCAGATATGAGGAATATAGACAGTATATATATATATATATATATATATATATATATAT